ATTGTAAATTCATCATTTAAGTTACTCAGAATTTAATCATATTGAAAGTTACCATTCCTGGCAATCAGGTATTCTCCTTCATGAGGCTCTGACAGAACGGAACCTCTGTGGGACTGAGGACCTCACCCTGAGCCATGATTAATTCACCAGGTAAACGCCACTTTGTAAAGGGGAAAAAAGTGCCAACTCACCTAGCTGAGAAGTTAGGGAGGGGATGATAGGTCCCTTCTGGGAAGCTGGGCTCCAGCGTCTCAAATGAGGGTGTCAGGTCTCTCCCGCCTTTGTCTGCAAAGCCCCAGTTGGGTGCCTCTGTGTGTGACAGCTGGCTCACAGGGGGTGACAGATTGCAGTCCCCAAAGAAGGCAGTGTCTGCACCGATTGCTCTAGCAAACTCCCTGGAGGGCTCTGACCACCCTGGAGTCAGGGACTCCCCCTGCAGCCAGCCCCATCCAAACTGAGGTAGGAGATAGATGGGCCCCTGGGCTGAGCAGCTGGGGAGCTTGTCAAACAGAGTAAATTGGAGCTCTATTTTCACTAAACACGCCAAGGACAAAGTTAATAGCAGGAGCTGAGCTCTGCTGGAGTAAAGAGCTAGGGGGACCACATCTATGACTCCTGAGGTCAAGGAGACCACCCCGACTGCACATGTGCAGGGAGGCTCCTCTGGGGTCAGAAGGGGAGGGAGCGCCATCCCACAGTAGGTGTTGTCAACCTCCCTGTAAGCCTCCACGCTGGAATCCATCTTGGCAAAAAGATGTGCACGCATATTGTGGGGAGGGCCCTAAAGACAGCACAGATGTGGGAAAAGAAGTGGGCTAATTATCCAGAAGAGAACAAAGACCAGGAAGAACTGCCCCACATTAGTGATTTAAATCACCTCTCTGGCAGGCTTCTCATTCGGGACACACACACTCTTCTCTGGGTGTGTATTTCTGCCTTGCTGTTGTCTTAAATAAACAAACCGTTTCTCTGTGTGCTCTGTCACATGTTGTGCTGTGTCTCCAATAATAAACTTTGTGCCCATTTTTGCAGTTTTTGCTTCCTTGAAACAGGATTCCTGCTTTTCATCCAGGCTACTCAGGTTCAGCCTCTGGGTAGGGAGATAAGATCCTGCTTCAAGACTGCTCACTGCTGTCTCTCCGAGAACAAAACCACTTGGACCAAGCACTTTCAAGCAGGGCAGCTTTGACACGGGGAGGGGTGGCTCTACAAAGGAAAGGAGAGTGAGTGAACACCACTCACCTCCTCCTGAGGCCTTCTGGAGACAAACAAGGAGCCTCCTGCCTGCCTTTCAGGAGGTACTACAAAGTCTCGTTCTGTGTTATCTATCTACAACAGTAGTATGTGAGAAATGGTGAAAGCCACGAAGCATGTGCCCTACTAACGCAACCAGCACTGGCCTACTCCCAATTCTCTTCACTTACACACAAAGCAGGTGCAGTGAAAGGAAACTCCAAAGCCGATTTGGATTCCAGTGTTAACTCTGGTCCTACTAAGTCAACGCTTTTGAGCAAGCCTCTGAAGCCTGTTTCCTCATATGAAATGAGGCTAATGTGCCCATGTCACAGGGTAGTTGTGAGAATGAGGTGGATTAAGGGGTGCAGAAGTGCCTAGAATAGTGCCTGATGCTCGATACATGTCTACTAAATATGTATTTGGCCCGTATTAAGCACTTGTATTTAACGCGTGTATTTACATGTAAGAACATGTATTCAATAATACTACTACACATATTACCCACGTGTTTGGCAGCTTAACAACTGCTTCTAAGGCTTTGCTGGTTGATGAACCCCACTGGAGAATTCCCACATAGCTTTCTCTCTTTTTTTTTTATTTATTTTTTTGGCCGAAGTGCACGGCTTGCGGGATCTCAGTTCCCTGACCAGGGACTGAACCCGGGCCGTGGCAGTGAAAGCCCCAAGTCCTAACCACTGGACCACCAGGGAAGTCCCCCCACATACCTTTGCAGGAAGTTTTTCCTCTTTGCCTGAACTAACGGGGATTGTTGTGGCCGGGTGTCAGCAGTGCCTTAAATAGCACCTTCTTATTCACAGGAAGGAGGATTTGAGAACTTTCAGTTCTGGACTTTGTCTTATTTTCTTGCTGTTCTGTCTTTTTACTGATGGGTCTGGGGAAGAAACAAGATCACACCATTAATTCGTTTTTAAAAGACATCATTGATTCTTCAAATGAAACCGGACAGTGGGCAAGGAATCCGAGCACAGGAAACGAGCATGGGTGAGAGATATTTCACCCAGACGGGAGCAAGCTTGGTAAATTATTCCTACCCCACCATGACCAGCAAGTTTGGGTTTTGGAATTCAGAACCTTGCTTTCTAGAATGTCTTGTACGGTAGTTATCTTTTCAGAGATCCAGTTTGATCATCCCTGTTCTATTCCAAGAATACTTCATTGAACTTTGCTTACCTAACAGTGCCCATATTCCAGTTCTGCATCCTGAGATGTGTCCGAGGTCGCCTTGATTAGAGTTTTGAGAGATGTTAAATACTATCTCTTGGTTTTACTTCCACAGATGACTAATAATTTGTGTGTTTATTTGTCTAACTTTCAGAGGGCAATCTTATTTTCCTTTTTTGTTGGGTAAAGGCAGCTCATTGTTTCCCTAAGTACTGCCAACAGACTGGTTTTCTTGAGGGAAAACATCTGTACAAAGTCTGGTTTCAGGTCATACTTGGACAGATGGTGCTGTTCTGTGTACTTGAAGTTGGAGTCTCATTTCTGTTTCTCTTGCTTACTGGGGCGGTGGGGGGGGGGGAAGGAACAAACACATGGATGGTATTTTCCTATTCTGGAAAAAATTTTTTTCAGTTATTTTTTACTTATGTTTAAGATTGTTATAACATTCCATCCTTTATTTCCTCCCCACTAGAGTTCCCCACAGCTATGAGACTCATTTGTTTTAAATAACCTTTTTTTTTAAAAAAAAAAATATAAAGCAATATTCATTAGAAGGAAGTTGGATAGACCAAAGTAACAGTTACTTTTACAATTATTTTTGATTAGCACACAAAAAATTCTCCCAATCTGAATGATTTAGTCTATGTCTGGATTCAAGTATGTTTTCCACTAATAATAGTTAGCCACAAAACAGTATCCTGTTCTATTGCAGAATTTCTGATTGATAATTTATACCAATGTACTGAGGCTCTAAAATAGCCTCTTGCTTTCTTTCACTGAGCTTGAGGCAAATATCAAGAACGGATAACTTTATTTGTATCCACAATTTTGAAACTAGCTTTAGGAGACATGAGAGCAGGGGTGCTCTGTGAAAACCTGTGTCTATGTACCGTGAAATCGTTCTTCCTCCTTATCTTTCTTTATATCCTTTTCCCTAATAGAGAACTAGCTGTGTTTTAAACCATTATATACGTAAATCTATTTTGAACAGTTCCTTGTCTAGAATGGACTGAATTGCCTTTTGCATATATGGTTCTTTAATGATTTCTTTGCTCCTGAGGAGCAGTAACCCTCAGAAATACTTCAAAAAATCTCTAGGAACAAAGTGATTGTGCCATTCTTCATACTCTGCCTCTTGAATCTGAGCCCTCTCTTCAAACCTTGCCTAAAAGTCTCCTTCTTTCAGGAGGTCTCTCTCCTGCACCATCGCTTCCTACCTTATAAGTGGATGTGATCGCCCTGCCCACAAATTCCAATCATATTCTCTACTAGTTTTATGGCACTTATGCTAATCTGGTGTGTATTTGTGTACTGTTTTATTCTTCTTGTGGGTTATGAGCTCCTTAAAGGCAGGTTTAATATCTTATTCTTTGAGCCCCTTGCAGCTACAGTGCCTTATAAATAAGAGTTGCTAAGTATTTATTAATCAAATTCTAGAAACGGAATAACTCTGGTCTTCTTTGTTTCACTTACTTACTTAACAAATATTTAAATGAAATGTACATTTAACAGAGTTGTAAAGGTACAAACTACTAATCAAAAAGTAACAATACTTCGTAGACTTTTTTTTTTTTAACGTTTAGATGCAGGAGTACAAACTGTTATGAAATCTTTAAATAATGTTCTCAGTTTTCAGAGTAAGTTGTTGAATTGCTAGCTTAGAATCTGGGCTCCCTTCCTGAAACCAGATGACACATTTCTTGCCCCTCCCATGCCAAGGGCCCCTCCCATGCCAAGGGCCCCTCCCTCTTTGTGGGCGCGGGCTTCCCTTCTGCAGCTTGGCACTGAGATCTAAACCTATATTGGCAAAGTCCTCTTTCTTCTCACCTTCACGTGGAGGTGTGTTCATTTCTCTAAGCATTGTGCAACAGGACCAGTCCTTGTGGGAGACCAGAAAAAAAAAAGCCAAATGTTCAAAGAAAAGTCCCTCACCCCTCACCATACTTCTCACTAGCACTTCCAATGTGTACTGTGTGCTCGGATAAAACTGAGACCCATAAAATCCATCAATAGAGACAGCATAGTTTTCATTATGGAAACTTGTGCTAAAATAATAATGTGGTCATTTTACAATACTGTGAACTACTGCAAGGTCATCTAACATTTTTGTTCTCATTTTGTGATTGAATTATAATTGTACAACTTGAAATCACAAAGAAGTGTTTTTTAAAATACAAAAAGAGCAAATTAGCGTTCTTCCGTAAACCCTCTATAGTAATTTTTAAGGAGGGAAATAATTTAAAATATCCCAGTAGGCTTTTCTTTCTTTCTTTCTTTTTTTTTTTTTTGGCCATGCTTGGAAGTGGGGTTGACCTTAAAACTTTTTGGTCTCAAAGAACGCTTAATTAATCTGATGTGAAGAAAAAATAATAATCGCTTTATTTCTCTGGCAGTCTAATCACAGACCACCCCCTTTTCCCCAGCCTTAGGGGAGGGAGCGTTTAATAACGGCCTGTGTAAACTGATGCCCAGGCCGTAAGAGTTCGCAGGAGCTCTGCTCGAACAAGTTAAAACCAAGCAAAGAGCAAAGGGCGGCCCTCGAAACAAAAAACTGCTCAAAGCAGCCAACGCAGTGGATCGCAATGGCTCTGCTGGCGCGGATCCTCAAAGCCCGTCTGAGCCCGGCGCCCGAGCGGGGCCCTTGGCAGCCTCGGCCCACGGACGCCAGGCTCCCGGCGAGGGCGCGGGCCGAGGACAAAGGAGTCGGGCGGCCGGGGGCGCCGCGGGCCGGGGGCCGGGCAGAGGGACCCCGGAGCCTCGCCGCCATGCCGGGGCCCCGGACCCTCGCCAACCTGGTGGAGCTCTTCTGGAAGGACGGCTTCAGCCGCATCCACGAGATCCAGGTAGCTGCGCGCGGGAGACCGGGAGCGCGAGGGGGCTCGCTCCGGCGGGAAGGCGCCGGGGACGAGGCCCGGGGAGGGAGCGCCGGGAAGGGGAACCGGGGAGAGGAAACCGGGGAGGGAGCGCAGGGGAGGGGACCCGGGACAGGATCCTGCGGAGGAGCGCCGGGGAGGGGACCCGGGACAGGATCCTGGGGAGGGAGCTCTGGAGAGGGGACCCGGGAGAGGATCCTGGGGAGGCAGCTCCGGAGAGGGGACCCGGGAGAGGAAACCAGGGAGGGAGCGCCGGGGAGGGGATCCGGGGAGAGGATCCCGGGGAGGGAGAGCCAGAGAGGGGACCCGGGAGAGGATCACGGGGAGGCAGCGCCGGAGAGGGGATCCGGGGAGAGGAAACCCGGGAGGGAGCGCCGGGGAGGGGACCCGGGGAGAGGAAACCGGGGAGGGATTCCGGGGAGGGGGCGCCGGGGAGGATTCCAGGGAGGGAGCGCCGGGGAGGGGGCCCGAGGAGGCACCGGGGAGGGGCGCCGGAGGAGGGGGTCACGGGCAGGGGCCGCCCTGGAGCCGCTGCTCCCCCATGCGCCGTACGCTCCGGCGGGCTGGCCTGCGGAGTCGGGGCGCCGAGAGCCGCCGCCCGGCCTCCCGGGACCGTCCCGAGGGAGGCCCGTGAGCAGCGCCTCTCCCGCGGTGGGTGACAAGCCCTGCGGGTCTTTACGCGGCCGAGGACAGGTTGCGTTTGTTCCTAGTCCTTTTTGTTTGTGTTTTATAATTGAAAGAAAACACAACAACTTAAAAATAACAGCGAGGGGTTCGGAGGCTCCGAGTTACGTGATCTCTAAGTGATGGGAAGACAAACGAAAGTTCGTGAACCTCGGCGTCAAGCCAGGTCTGGGCAGGGACTTAGGAAGAACCCAACCGGTCCAGCAACCCCGTCGGAGTGTTGGGAGCCCGCTCGTTGTACGGTGGCTCACCTTGATCCTGAGTTTTGCCCTTCCCGTGCCCACCTCAAATCGCGTCTTTCATTGCAAGGTGATCCCCACCTTTCAGCGTCGTCAAATCCATTCTCTCCCATTTCCTATGGTAGCTGCTCGCTGCTTGCCTCCGTCATTTTCTCAGGGCTCCCACCCCAGCACCCGCTGTGATTTCTGGGACCTGGGCCTTTTGACCTCGTCCAAGAACACCCTCCTTCCCCACTACTCACTTCTTTTTGTTCAGAGCTTACCCTTCAACCTTCAGAAACTTCTCAGAGGAAGCTTTTTGTAACCACCCACCTGGGTTTTGGTCATTCGTTCATACATTCATTCCCTCAACCCTTAACCTACATGATGGCGCAGAGGCCACAGCTACAGCTGGAGAAGCAGAAACTTCATTGATAGAAAAACAAAACCAAAAACAGTGGGGCAAGAGGAACAATCTTAATTTGACTGAAATTCCAGTTGGCCCCTCCTCTCCGTGCCCCACATGAACTCTACACGATTTCTCCCCAAACATGTTTCTGGGGGTCAAAAATGATTTTTTTCTGTTCCATGTGGAATCTGAACATAAGGTATCAAGATGATAGTTTTCAAATACGGTAAAAAAAAAAATTGTTATTTATTTATTGACAAGTTCAATACAGGTTGCTGTAGACTGGAGCATTGGTTGTTTACTAGAGCTGGTTGTTCTAGTAAAACCCTCTCCCCGAGCTCTCCAGGTCACCCATAAGGCATTTCTAAGGAGGAAGAGAATTATTCTGTTACCTCAAGTCCAGTTTCCTTTCACTCAACTTGTGATCACAGAATGCTGTCTCACAAGGGATTCATCTATAGGGTCCAGGTCTTTCACTTTACATGTGGAAAAGGCCCCAAAGTGTCAGCTGAGTGACTTGCCCACAGTCACATAGCTGGTTAGTGGCAGAGCAGACACAGTGATCAAGGTCGCCAGGTATGACAGAGCAGGAGGGTCCTGCGTTACATAGCAGCCCTTTACAAGCACCTGTGGAATCTTGGCCAATCAGTTCTTCTCTCTGGACCACAGTTTCCTCCTCTGTGCAGGAGTCTAACAATCCTCATCCATCTCACGGGTTATTGTGAGGTCGTGTGATCAGGGCTGTGGAAGGGCTTTGTAAACTGTAATAATAACCAATACATAAGAAGAATGAACAGTTCTGGAGCTCTTTTCATGTGCCAGGCACAGTTTTAAGTCCTCCATGTGAGGTAATCTCTATTATTTCTCCATTTTGCAGGTGAGGAAACTGAGACACAGTGGAACCTAACTTCCCAAAGTCACCCAGCTAGTAAACTGTGAGCTGAGATTCCAACTCCAGAGTCTGTGCTCCAGCTGGCTACACAAACTGAGTCTGTGGCTGACTGTATCATTCCTTGGCCCTCCACCAAAAAGGGCCGTAAACTACCTGTGTCCTTCATCTCGTTCTTTTTGCCCCTTGGTCAGTGGCTCCCTTGTCTGATTGTGCCCATTCAGTAGCTGGATGTGCCCGAGGAGTGGCCCATCTCCCAGTAGTTCCGGTAACAGTCATCCTATCAGAGACCTGGAGAAATACCCTTTTGGGGTCACCTGTTTGTTAGGCAGAGTGATCCCTTGGCACCTGACACATCCCAGTTGAGTCTGAGTGTCTTCATCTCCAGGCAGCAGGACTTCAACTAGGTCCACAAAGAAGCAAACAGCTTCTACCTGAGGGCAGAAGAGTGGAGAGATGACAGACCCTCTGGCCCGCCATTTCCGTGGTTGAGAGTTGGGGTGATAAGAAATGTTGGCAGATGCCAAAGAGGGGTGTAGTCATTTTCCCCATGCTTAGCCCTGCCTATGTCATGCTTTTTTTTTTTTGACCACACCACACAGCATGCGGGTTATTAGTTCCCTGACCAGGGATCTAACCCATGCCCCCTACATTGGAAGCATGGATTCTTAACCACTGGACTGCCAGGGAAGTCCCCATGCCTATGTCATGCTGAGCCATGCTGGAGGGTACTTTCTCTCCTTCTTTCTTTAATTATTTAACCCATTTACATTTATTGTGATTTCTTTTTTTGGTAACAACTTCATTGAGATATAATTCACATATCATACAATTCTCCCACTTAAAGTATACAACCATCACCACAATCAATTATAGAACATTTTCATAACCTTAAAAAGAAACCCCATATTGTATTCTTTAGCAATCACTCCCCAACCCTCTCATTCCCCCAGCCTTAAGCAACCACTAATAATTTACTTTCTGTCTTTATAGACCTATTCTGGACATTTCATATAAATGGAATCATATAATGTGTGGTCTTTTTTGTCTGGCTTCTTTCACTGAGCATAATGTTTTCAAGTTCACCCATGTTGTAACATGTATTAGTACCTCATTCCTGTTTATGAACAAATAATATTCCAGTGTGTGGATAGACCACATTTTGTTTACTTATTCATCAGTTGATAGACATTTGGATTGTTTCTACCTTTTGGCTGTTATGTTTTCATTTTTTGGGTATATATCTAGGCGTGAAATTGCTGTGTCAAATAGTAACTCTGTATTTAACCTTTTGAGGAATTGCTAGACTGTTCTAAAGTGGCTGCACTATTTTATATTCCAGCAACAGTGCAAGAGGGTTTTGATTTCTCCACATCCTTGCCAATACTTGTTATTATTACCTGCCCTTTTGATCATAAGCATCCTAGTATGTGGGAAGTGATATCTCATTGTGGTTTTGATTTGCATTTCCCTAATGACTAATGACATTGAGCTTCTTTTCATGTGCTTATTAGATATTTTGATACCTTCTTTGGAGAAATGTCCATTCAAATAATTGCCCAGTTTTTAATTGGGTTATTTGTTGTTGTTGTTTTTTACTGTTGGGTTATAGTAGTATTTTTATATATTCTAGACATAAATCTCTTATCAAATATGTACTTTGCAAATATTTTCTCCATTCTAGGGATTGTCTTTCACTTTCTTTGTAATGTTCTTTGACGTTACGCACATTTTAAAATTTTGATGATGTCCAATCATCTGTTTTTTTCTTTTGTTGCTTGTTCTTTTGGTATCATATCTTAAGACACGATTGCCAAATCCAAGGTCATGAATATTTATCCCTATGTTTTTGTCCAAGAGTTTTGTGGTTTTAGCTCTTGCATTTAGTCTTTGGTCCACTTTGAGGTAGTTTTTGTATGTGGTGTGAGATAAGGGTACAAATTATTTTTTGTTTGTGGCTATCCAATTTTCCCAGCATCTTTTGTTAAAGAGGCTATTCTTTCCCATTTAATTGTCTTGGCACCCTTTTTGAAAATCCATTGACCTTAGATGTATGGGTTTATTTCTGGGGTCTCAATTCTATTCCAATGACTTAGATGTCCATCCTTATGCCAGTAGCACACTGTCTTCATTACTTTTATAGTAACCTTTGAAATAGGGAACTGTGAGTCCTTCAACTTTGTTCTTCTTTTTTAGGATTGTTTTTGCGGTTCTGAATCACTGGAATTCTGATAGGGATTATGTTGAATTTATGGATCAGTTTGAGAAGTATTGCCATCTTAATAATATTAAATCTTCCATTCCATTGACATGGAATAAATAAATTCCGTTTATGTAGGTCTTTAATTTCTTTCAATGATCTTTTGCAGTTTTCAGAGTGTAAGTTTTACACTTATTTTATTAAATGTATTCCCAAGTATTTTATTCTTTATGATGCTATTGTAAATGGAATTGCTTTCTTAATTTTATTTTTGGATTGTTCATTGCTAGTGTGTGGAAATACAATTGAATTTTGTATATTGATCTTATATCTGGCAAGCTTACTGAACATGTTTTTTAGCAGATATCTTAGAATTTTCTACACGCCAAATCACGTCACATGTGAATAGAGACAGCTTTACTTCTCCCTTTCCAATCTGGGTGCCTTTCCTTTCATTTTTCTGCTGGGGGCATTTTTACAGGTTTATTACAGATTTCCTGCAGGGAGCTTTCTTCACAGGGCAGGCTGGGCGGCTGCTGTGTGTCTGAATGAAAGGGGCAGGCAGACCCTGTTTGACTCAGGACAGTCAAGACCCTGCAGTTCATCTACATCCACATTCCTCTCACATTGCTTCACACAGCTAAGGTTTTTTTAAACACACATCTTTAAAGAACTAAGAAAACTTCTATGAATATGATTAATGATGTGAAAATATGTTTACCTCAGGAATACTTAAAGCAACCACTCTGTTTTTGTTTTAATTAATATTTTTTGGAGTAGAGTTGATTTACATTGTTGGGTTAGTTTCTGCTGTACAGAGAAGTGAATCAGTTATACATATACATACATCCACTCTTTTTTAGATTCTGTTCCCATGTAGGTCATTACAGAGTACTGAGTAGAGTTCCCTGTGCTAGACAGTAGGTCCTTATTAGTTATCTAGTGTGTATATGTCAATCCCAATCTCTCAGTTTAATCCCTGCCCCCTCCTTTCCCCCTTGGTAACCGTAAGTAAAGTGGCCACTCTGATTCAGTTCTGCATAATGCAGAGCTTCCCTCTGCCCCAGTTTTCTGCTCCCCTAACATCCAGGAATGTCCATGTCAAAGGTATATCATATCTGTGTATTTTTTTCCTTTTCTGATTTCTCCATGGTTTTGCAGCAGAAACATACACGGGAATATGGAAAAATCTTCAAGTCTCACTTTGGTCCTCAGTTTGTAGTATCTGTTGCAGACAGAGACCTGGTGGCTCAGGTGCTCCGGGCAGAGGGGGCCGCGCCCCAGAGAGCCAACATGGGGTCCTGGCAGGAGTACCGAGACTTACGGGGCAGATCCACCGGGCTCATCTCCGCGTGAGTATGTGAGGCCAGGCTGAGACATGAGCAGGAGCGGGGAGCCCAGGGACGCTCCCCCTCCCTGAACGCTGGGCTCCTAAAAACAGCTATTAATAAAGCACAGAACTCGCAGTGGAATAGTATCAAAAGAGCCTCACGTGTGATCTCCCCAAATCTCCTAAAACCCTCTGGGAAGAGATTTGGTGGCAGGGACAAGGTGGGGAACCCACTAGCCGAGTGATGGAGAGGAGCCATTTTTCAAGGAACACTTTGTGGCTTTAGGTGTCCTTTCGGTGACCACTGAGGGGGCTGAAGCTCACAGAGCCCATCTGTGGACAGGGGTGAGGGTGGTGAGCTGTTTTAGGAGACCTCCAGAAGGGGCTACGAACTTCAGCATTGATCGCCATGTGATGATGTTCCTGCCTTATAACAGACTATGGTTATTATACACCTTTGTGTCTTCCAAGAGTGAATCGGTACAGCCTCAGGTAGGGAGGAGAAAACAGAGCATCTGCAGATCCCCTGGTCCAAATCCCTTTGGTTTAGAAATTCTATTTTTGGCTCTTTTGATATACATGTCCTTACACATGAACTGGGGAGTAATACCATCACTCCCCTCTCTTTGCAGTGTCTGTCCTGTCTTCATCCCATTTGGGCTGGCAGATCTTGTTGACTCTTTATTGCTGGGAAATTTTTGCAGAGATACTCTGAATTCCTTCCTAGAATATCACTATAAGTAAGATTATTTGGAATTCACTTTATTCTAGGGAGGGTGAACAGTGGCTCAAGATGAGAAGTGTGTTGAGACAAAGAATTCTGAAACCGAAAGATGTGGCCATTTTTGCAGGAGAAATCAACCAAGTTATTGCTGATTTAATTAAAAGAATCTACTTCCTCAAGAGCCAGGCAGAAGATGGGGAGACTGTGACCAACATCAATGACCTTTTCTTCAAATATTCAATGGAAGGTAGGTGAACTCAGGAGGTGGGGAAGATGGAAGAATGGACATTTTACCAAAATATGGTTCTTATCACTCATTGAGCATCTCCTGTGTCCCAGACAATGTGCTAAGCCCTATACATACGTACATGTAATTGTCACAGTGCTCTAAATGGAACCAGGTTGACTGACACTGTTTTACAAATGGGGGAACTGAAAAACTAACCCCCATTTTTAGTGGCAGAAACTTAGTTTCAAATTGACGTCTCTCTAACTCAAGAACCATGCTCCTAATTACTACACATTTTGTTTTAGCATAGTTTTAAAAGCAACAGGAGTCTAGAGGGCATGTACCACAATCATTCTAACTTTTAAAATCCATGTTAGATGGGTAGCACATTCCCATGGTTCAAAAATCAAACCCAAAAAGTACTTATGGAAAAGTCGCCCTCTCTCCTGACCCAGCTAGGTCACCAGCTCCTTCAAGGGATATTGTATTTACATACAAAGAAATATGAGTATGAGTGTGAGCATTCTTTTTACTTAAAAAAAAATCGATAGCATACCAAATATTTTTTCTGTACCTGGGTTTTTGGAGAACTCTATTAGCTTTCCCATTTTTATTTTTATTTATGGCTGCATTGCGCGTGCCATGTGGAACTTCCCTGACCAGGGATGGAACCCGTGCCCCCTGCAGTGGAAGCACGGAGTCTTAACCACTGGACCACCAGGGAAGTCCAGATTTCCCATTAAAAAAAAAAAAGTTTCTTCAAATTTAAGTTAACTTTTTAAAGTCCTGGTATTAATGCTCTCTAAAAATAGTAACAAAATCAACAGAGAAGTGTTGTAAACACACTGAAAAATCCTCCCCATCCCTGGTTCACAGAGGCCCTTTCCTCTGCCCCCTTAGCTCGTCCTGGGGCTCCCCGAAGTGTGGCCAGGAGGAGCCACCTTTCAACTCCCCAAAGTTGGGCAACTGGCTGAAAGGTTGGGAGTTTTGCCTTGTGGGTCTTGAACAGACTGTTGAGCTGAGGACGCACTGAGGCAGAGGGTTTATCAGCATTGAACCCACAGCGCCCTGGGGGTCAGGACCTGGTAGAGAAAACCTCAGGGGTAGGCACCTGGATCACTTCTTTTTTTAATTTTTATTTTTTTGGCTGCACTGCGAGGCTTGTGGGATCTTAGTTCCCCGACCAGGGATGAAACCCAGGTCCCCTGCAGTGGAAGCGAGGAGTCCTAACCACTGGACCACCAGGGAAGTCCCTGGACCACTTTTGAAAGTTACATTTATGGCCAGGTATCGTATATTGATGCTGTGAATGGTCTAGAAGAAGAAGAAGAAGGGTTGTAACCTCTCTCCCGCGCAGGAGTGGCCACCATTCTTTACGAGAGTCGTCTGGGCTGCCTGGAGAACAGCGTCCCGCAGGCGACAATGGACTACATCGAGGCCCTGGAGCTCATGTTCTGCACGTTCAAGATGTCCATGTACGCCGGTGCCATCCCTAGGTGGCTCCGCCCGCTCATCCCCAAACCCTGGCGGGAATTCTGCAGGTCCTGGGATGGACTCTTCAAATTCAGTAAGAGAAAAGTCAGGGCACCTTTTGTAGAAGCAGATGGACCTGACTTTCCTCCTAGTTGTGTATCTAACACTCACACAGACAGTGGGTATTACTGTAGGGGATTCCCCAATGGAGTTACGTGCTATTTTGACTCAAGAACTTTTAGATTGGTTTCTCGAATGAGCAAAAAGCACGTGGGTTGTGACTACAAGTAATGTGACAGATTTCTCACTTTTTAAAAAAATAAATTTATTTATTTAATTTATTTATTATTTTTGGCTGCATTGGGTCTTTGTTGCTGCGCGTGGGCTTTCTCTAGTTGTGGCGAATGGGGGCTACTCTTTGTTGTGGTGCACAGGCTTCTCCTTGTGGTGGCTTCTCTTGTTGTGGAGCATGGGCTCTAGGCACGCGGGCTCAATAGTTGTGGCACGTGGGCTCAGTAGTTGTGGCACGCGGGCTCAGTAGTTGTGGCACGCGGGCTCAGTAGTTGTGGCATGCGGGCTCAGTAGTTGTGGCTCACAGGCTCTAGAGCTCAGGCTCAGTAGTTGTGGTGCACGGGCTTAGTTGCTCTGCGGCATGTGGGATCTTCCCAGACCAGGGCTCGAACTAGTGTCCCCTGCATTGTCGGGTGGATTCTTAACCACTGCACCTCCAGGGAAGCCCTGAAGAGACGATTCTTAACCAAAACTTCTTTCAAAAGAAACACTGTTTTCAAACAGGCCAAATTCACGTTGACAACAAGCTGAGGGACATACAGTGCCAAATGGACCGAGGGGAGAGAGCGAGAGGGGGCCTGCTCACGTACCTCTTCCTCAGCCAGGAGCTGACACGGGAGGAAATCTACGCCAACATGACCGAGATGCTGCTGGCTGGCGTGGACACGGTGAGCTCTCAGCTTTCCTTTCTTCTCAGCAGAGCACAGTTAAAGCTGGGGGCCTTTCCGAGGACTCCGACAGATGGCAGATACTTTAAGAGGACCATGCTTGTTTGTACTAGCTGAATGTCTGCTTCACTGCTGAGGGTCTCCAGGAGAAAACTCGACCTTTTTTCTTTTCTTTAATATAAATAAAGGTGCACGATGAATTCTGTAAATAACATAACCCAATTCTATTACCACACACACAAAGTAGCAATATGTTTTAAAGTTTAAAATCATTCCTGATTTGCAAACATTTCTCCATTGTTTCATAATATCAGAAACGAAGGGACTTCCCTGGCGGTCCAGTGGTTAAGACTTTGCCTTTCAGTGCAGCGGGTGTGGGCTCGATCCCTGGTCGAGGAGCTAAGATCCCCCGTGCCTTGCGGCCAAAAATCCAAAACATAAAACAAAAGCAGGAGTGTAACAAATTCAATAAAGACTTTAAAAGTAGTCCACATCAAAAAAATCTTAAAAAACAAAAAAGAAATGAAAAGGGCACAGACATTAAAAACCCTCTTACTTATCATTCAAACTATTCCGGGCTATGGAGAACTTCCCAGTTCATTTGATAAAGTCGGCATAACTTCAAAACCTGCTAAAGAAAGCATAAAGAGAGAAAAGTTTACTAAGCAGTTTGACTTATGAATATGCACATATATCATTTTTAAATCCTAGTGAATAGATTCAGTTCGTGGAGCAGATGAATAATACGCTATGACCAACGAGGGCTCAATATCAGAATGAAACAAAGCATTGCCCGTTGATTTGGAGGCAATTCCCTACCCTATTACTAAGTGAGAAATGAAGATGCAGGAAAGCATGCATATCCTGTGTTCCTGTTAGTAAGACAGTGGCCCCCGTCCCATCTGTCCACGTGCACGTGTGTATCGCTGATTGCTGGACGTGGAGGAAAGTATGGAGCCTGCACCCTGGACGGTTAACATGGGTTCCTGGGCTGGGGCGGGGCTGGTACAGGGGTGTGGAAGCCAAGTTCCTTCCAAAAACTTATGTATAATCTGATACATTTACTCAAGTCTAAAAAATGGTATATTTGTGGGTATATGTACAGAAAAAGTTTAAAATTTGCTAAAAGAAAGTGGTGAAATAAGAAAAAGAAGGGCCAGGCTTTTGGTAATTGGTGGAAGAGAAGTCAGTTGAGTGAAATAATTAAGATTAAGACAGTAAATTTGGTGATTTACTGTGTCTCCAACGCACATCTGTAAGCACCCTTCTGTTCACACAGAATCCTCTGAGGTAGGTGTTACTGTCTTCATTTAACAGGTGGGGAAATGAAACAGCTAAGCTTCCCTCAAGGTTTTTCCTTCACAGGAGTGCTTCCCGGACTTGAGGAAAGCACAAATCTCCTTTTTAGAGGTAGACAAAAACCCCATGGTTGACATTTTTATTATGAAGTCACTTAAACATGTAAAAGCAAAAAACTTCACATAAAGTCATTATTCTTATGGATCATCTTTAACAATAAAACAAAAAGTATATAAATTAAATACAAACGAATCAATGCGGACAATGCAAGCGATGAAAGTTCTGATTAACCGTGTGAATGTGACAGTGTGGGTTTGCTTGAGTGGAGAAGCAATGATGGAATGAACGGCCTTGTATCTAAGCTGATTCAGATGCATGCTACTGTTGCCCCCTGGTGGTAACTAAGAGCATCACCGTGAGACGGAGGGCAGAGAGGACTCGTTCCTACGTGAAGGGAACATCTTGAAACTTCACGCTCATTTTCTAAAATGTTATTTTAAAAACCCAACTTCATTGCAGCATAATTTATGCACGATAAACTGCATCCATTTAAACGGTACAATTCGATACAGATTGTTGACTGATACAGGAGAAGCACAGATGCAATCATTTTTGAAACCAGCACTGAAGTTAAGATACTGGATGTTGCTACCACCTCTGCAAGTTCCTTACCCCCATTTCAGTCCATCCCTCCCATAACCCCCCCCCCCCCCCCCCCCCCCCCCCGGCAACCGCCTTCTGACACTGTGTCATAACAGTTTGCAGTTTTCTAGAAATCAGTTTGCATTTTTCTAGGAAATTTATATAAATGGAATTATACAGTATGTATTTTGTGTCTGACTTCCTTCACTCAGCAAAATGATTTTGAAATTCATGGATGTTGTTGCCTGTAAAAGTAGTTTATTCTTTTTTATTACTGGACAGTATTCCATTGTATGGCTATACCACATTTGGTTTTTCCATGAATATGTGATTTTAATAGAAATTTTCTGTTCTCTTCATAGGAAGCATCTAAATTATTTCCTTCTCATTTATAAGGAAGAACTTGCACGTTACATTGTATATTACAGGAGAGCTTGCCCTCTAAAAATACATAATATCTATTAGAGGGAAATAACATCAGTATGGCCTACTTAAGTTAGATTTTTTTTAGGTGAAAGAAAGGGCACTTATACTGTGGATTTTCCTTGTTTACAAGAGAGTGTACTACAGTCACATAGGTAATAGTATTGATTTTAGTGAAAATCTTGGAATCTAGGGTATAAAATAGAATTATTTATTCTCAATAACCAGAAATGTAATTCTTCAGTTTAGGAAGTGGTATAAACAATGATACTGCTTTGTGCAAATGCCATTCAATCCTTATATGGCGCTTTGCTTGATAAGTGCGTGGGAACAACGATGGACCAGTAATAGTCCTGTGACCACCACCTCCCATCCCCCTCTCCCCCATCTCTTCTAGATTAGGGCAACCAGAGCAGCCCTTGCCCAGCCATGGGCCTGCAGGATGCAGTTCTCGGGCTGATGGGCAGCCTCAGGTCCTTTCTAGCAAAACTCAGGTGACCCTTGTAGAGAAGGTCGAAGAAAGTTCTAGGCACAACTTCCAGGCTTGACCAGCGTTCCTACGTGCTCTCAAACTCCATGGAAGAAGAGGCAGATTGCTCTTCAATGATTTTTTAAAGTTCCAAAATAATTTTTCCTGTGGCTCTTCATTGAAAGAGCGCTTGAATCCCATCGTTGATGTTACTTTCCAAAAACCTCTGTCAGTTTTTTTCCAGGAGGAGTTAAGGGAGATCATCTTTTGTTTCAGTAAGCCATAAAATGCTCCGATGGACTTACATGGGCGTGGCTTTGCACCTGTGCTTATTCTCCCATGACTTCACGTCCGATGTTGCCTGCGCCTGAAATCCTTGATTTTACTCACCCACGTGCCTGTGTCTGCCGGTTTCTTTATTAGACATCGTTCACGTTGTCCTGGGCAGTGTATCTCCTCGCGAGGCACCCGGAAGTGCAGCAGACCGTGTACCGGGAGATAGTGAGGAATTTGGGGGAAAGGCATGTTCCCACGGCTGCAGACGTCCCCAAAGTCCCACTGGTCCGAGCTCTGCTTAAGGAAACCTTGAGGTAAAAGGCTCACCAAAATTCATGTCAAAAACCGTGTCCGTTAAGTCTCTGATTCTTTATCACGATGAATGTGCTTTTGACCTAAAAACTGGGTCCTAAACCAATACTCCAGCGACCCTCGGTGGCAGAAATGTTTAGGAAGGAGGGACTCATGACCATTTTATTTCCTCTCTGCCCTCGACAGAGCAGCAGAAAGGCGATTCTGTTTTACACTTAGAAATATTCATTTCTTCATAAAGATCTTTAGAGCCATCCTCGAACTTTGTCCTCACTCTAGACATTTGTTTCATCAACTGTTTCCCAGTGTGTTCCTCTGGGGATAAAGCAGAACAGGACTGACTGTCAGGAAAATGTTCTGGGCTGAGTGGCCAGTTACTGGACGTGCTTACTGCACTCCTTGTGTGAATGTCTAGTCAAGGTGCAGACTCCAAGTAGTGAGGCTTGTTTACTTCCGGACAGGACTTTACTGACCCTGGGAAACGCTGGAGCGTGAGGGATACGGGTGGTCTTGGGCAGGCTTGGGTGGGAGGTGGGATTAGGTGACTAGTGAAGGTTCTTCCTCCTGTGAGGCTCAGGATCGTGACCACAGCATGCCTCTGTGGAGGAAATGCTGTGACACGGAGCAAAGGTTATTCACAGAGTACACACTAAAATAATGCTTTTAAACCTGACTCGATAATGATATTTCAAGTTGGCTTGCATCTTCCATCTTCAGCATGCTGTTTAATCTCTATTTAAAAAAAAAAAAAAGGGAGAGAGAGAGAAAGAAAGAAAAAAGCCAGCTGTGTGTTAACTGGTATTTGTCAATTAAAATTTATTCAGTTGGGCTTCCCTGGTGGCGCAGTGGTTGAGAGTCTGCCTGCCGATGCAGGGGACACGGGTTCGTGCCCCAGTCCAGGAGGATCCCACATACCACAGAATGGCTGGGCCCGTGAGCCATGGCTGCTGAGCCTGCGCGTCCGGAGCCTGTGCTCGCAACGGGGAGGGCCACGGCAGTGAGAGGCCCGCGTACGGAAAAAAAAAAAAAGTTTATTCAGCGTTTTCGTAGGATCACTTCCCAGAGAATCCAAAAACTGATGTAGCATTTCTCAGAATCTATTTCTTGGAGCCCTGAGTCCTATGAACTATTCCTTGATAAAGGGGTCCCACGCTTGCACAGATTTCAGAAATTCAGCATTATTCCTCTTGGAACTTGCCCGGTGGTGCAGTGGTTGAGAATCCGCCTGCCAATGCAGGGGACACGGGTTCGATCCCTGGTTGGGGAAGATCCCACATGCCGTGGAGCAACTGAGCCCGTGTGCCACAACTACTGAAGCCCGCGCGCCTAGAGCCCATGCTCCGCAACAAGAGAAGCCACTACAATGAGAAGCCCATGCGCTGCAACAAAGACCCAACACAGCCAATAAATAAATAAATAAATTTATTTAAAAAAAAAAAAGAATTATTCCTCTTGGGAGCACAGTAGCATTTTAAAGGCTTTGCTTTGTGTTCTATAAATTTTTTTTGACTGTGAGGCCCCAGAATACTTGCTGGGAAAAGCTAGGGAGCCCATGAAGATCCTTGCAAGATTTCCTGGTTGAAACTGTAGCATGTGTTACTTTTTAGAAAATGAAAATGGCAATATATCCAGACTTTTAAATGTTTAGTAACATATTTTGAAAGTCACCGCTCCCTTCCTGTCCCCGTTGGCTCTTTCTAGGCTGTTTCCAGTGCTGCCGGGGAATGGCCGGGTCACCCAGGAAGACCTGGTTGTTGGCGGGTATCTGATTCCCAGAGGCGTGAGTTTGGCGGACGTGGCGGGGCTGGGCTGAGCAGGGGCGGTTGGATTGGAAATTTGCTTCCACGTTTCGGATGTCCCTGTACCTAAGCAAATATCTGTAGATGTCCTTTTCTTCTGCATATATTTTTATGATGAAGATGGGGCTTTACGAGCAAGGAGATGTGGAGTGGTGATGCTGCTCTGGCAAAAACAAAGGCAGATATTTCTGTAGCTCGCAGGCCTATTCAACCCTCCCTCTCCACCCCCACCCCCACCCCCCGCCGGAGGCCCCATGGAAGCAGCAGTTCCCTCCAGGGAGAGTTTCTGAAGGACTTGAATTGCCTTCTCTGTGGCTGCGTTGATGTTCATTCCGGGTAGGGTGTGAATTGAAGGGGGACCTGCCATCCCGGGTCTGCATGGCCTCTTGGGCCCTTACATGACTCATCCTGGCCCGAAGCATCTCTGGAGGGTTGGTCCAGCTGGGGCTATGGCCTCTGCTCTGCTTTCCCTTGATTAAGTTCTTTATTACTTTTCTGGTGAAAACGGTTTGCTCAGACCCAGCTGGCCCTCTGCCACTATGCCACCTCCTACGAGGATGAGAACTTCCCTCGGGCCAAGGAGTTCCGGCCTGAGCGCTGGCTGCGGCCAGGAAACCTGCGCAGGGTTGACAACTTCGGGTCCATCCCCTTCGGCTACGGGGCTCGAAGCTGCATCGGGCGGAGGATTGCAGAACTGGAGATCCACCTCCTTGTGATTCAGGTAGGGCCTGCGGGCTGGGCTTCATCCAGGTGACTGGGCTCCGTTGCTGGATCAAGACTTAGGTGAAAACAAGGAAACAGGATTTTGAAAACTTTCAGAGCTTCCTGTTAAATCTCTTTTATGTGTTAAAATGCCTCCCCTCCCCCTGCAGTAGCCGCCTGTAGCCCCATGGCCACCTGCCTTGTTCCTTCCTTCCTTGGAGTCACATGGGCAGAACTGGGATGTGTGTGTGTGTGTGTGTGTGTGTGTGTGTGTGTAGCAGGGGTGGGTGGTTACAGGAGCCCAAGCACTCCCACAGGGGTTCTGCAGAAAGGCTAGTGGAAGGTGTCCAGCAAGCAGCCCTCAAACATTATTGACCATCCCGTCACCAGGAGCCCCTCGAAATCAGGTTCCTGGGCCCCGGCCACAGAGAGAATCACTTGGTGGGTCTGGGGTGGGGCTCTGGGCGATTCTGATGTCAGTGGTCTAAGGAAGTGCACGTGGTGGGGCACGGGGGATCTCTACTTCTGCTGGTGGCTGTGTCTGCTGTTTAAGCCCCGGCCTCCCAGGCCTCCTTCCTTCAGAGCTTGTCACTGTCACCGTCACCATGGAGGAAGTCACGCTCACCCCCTGCCGCCCCCTCAGCACCTCGTTTTCTGTGAATCAGCCTTTTAAGCAGGGAGGTGGCTCTCAAGCTTGTTTGGGTTTTGAAACACCAGCAAGGCTTGGTTTTGGTGAGAGAATACCTTCCATGCAAATCTCTAAATGCTCAAGTGTTTACTTCTGCGCTTGTCCAGTATCTGAGCTCAGGCTGCGGCAGGAACTAAATAATGTCTGAAGGAAATTTCATGAAAGAAAAGCCCGCAGTAGAGAAAATTCTATCCATTAGCCTTTCCTGCAGATTTGGGGAGCCTGCCATGGAAAACCTAGGTCCAAGTTTCGGGAGCTATGACTCCAGGCTTTGGAAGCACGCGGGGATGACCTGGGGACCCATCTCCCCATTTCACCGATGAGGAAGCTGAGGCTCAGGGAGTTGGAGCCACTTGCCACGGTTGCCGCGTGGCAGGTGCAGGGCACGAGGCACGTGTCCTGTCTCCTGCCTGCATTTCCCCTCATGTCACTGGGGTGTTTCCTGCAGGCCGGCAGAGCCCAGGGCAGAGCACTCAGGGGTTGGGACCTTTACGGACGATGGCATCAGAGAGCGTAATGGATGGGGAAGCCTGGCCGGCCTGTGGGGGATTGTGGGCATGGGAGGCAGGCTCAGAGGGCTGGAGGAGGTGAGGGGCCACGGCCACGGGGTGGGTGTGGAAGGGGGTGAGGAGGACACCAGCCGGGCCCACCTGGCTCTGGTGGGAAAGCTCCGGGGACCTGGTGAGACCAGCAGAAGCGGGCACCGGCCTGTCCCTCGGTCGTCCCACCTCTGTGGGCACATGGGTGGCTGCAGTCCTCCCAGGCGAGAGGTGTCTCTTCCAGGGCAGCTGTCCCGGGCAGCGGTGGGCCCCATGGACGCTGGCCAGACCCAGTCATGCCCAAGGTGAGAGGCATCTCCGTGTGGAGGATGGACTCCAACCCCAGCTCTGCCAGTTTGTGGTTCCGACACTGCTGAGCATGTTTCCTCATCCACAAAATGGGCCAAATACCTGCCTTTTGGGTGTGTGAGGAATAAAAATAGTCTAAGCAGAGTCTGTGTTGTCTGCACACCTGCTCTCAGTGTCTGCTCACGGGGACTGTGTTTGGGAAGGTCCTGGCCCCATCAGTGCTGCTGTGTGTTCCACAACCATGTCTCCGACGGGCAGAGGCCATTTCCAGGCAGCCTTTCGGGGGGGCTGACTGCTTGCTGGATGCTTCCCGCTTCTGACGGCCTGGACAGCCATAGTGGATGCTGAGGGCATGAGGGCACAGACGGTGGAGTGGGAACAGGGTCAGAAACTGGGTGTTTGGTGGTGGTGATGGGGGTTTTATTTGTTTGCTACTATAACATACACGGGTACCTGCTACAGTTCTTGCTTCAAGAGCCCTCATTTTACTTGTGCAAGTATAGAGAGGGAACATCATTGTTTGTAATTGCCAAGAGGAAAAAAAAAAAGAAACAGAAGGCACAAATAAACAGTACTAGGAATGAGAAAGGAGACATAGCTACAAATGCAGTTGATCTTTTTTTTAAATCAAGAAAATACTGCAAACAGCTTTTTTACCAATACATCTGAAGACTTAGATAAAATGTACAATTTACTAGGAAAGGTGTAAATTACCCAAATGGGCTCAAAAGAAAGAGAACAGACCTTGAATACATTGAGTCGGTAGTAAAAATATCTACCACCAAATGTTCCAGACCTAGACAGTTTTATTGGCAAGTTTTATCAAACCTCCAATGAACGGGTGGAGGTTTGATAAATAGAAATACAAAATACAAACACAAATAGAAAATAGAAAAAGGAAGTCTTGTTTTTATGAGACTTGTATAACCTTGAGAGTCACAACCCGGAATGGATAAAATAAGAAAGAAAAACTACAGGCCAATCTGATTTATGAACAAAGATGAAAAATACCTTAAATGAAAAATTGGCAAGCCAAATCCAGCAATGTATGGACCAGAAATGCACCGTCACCAAATCAGGTTTGTTCAGGAATGCAAGAATGGCCCACCTCAAGACAGAATTCACCACAATGACAAATTAAGGGAGAAAAACTTTATGACCCTCTCCCAAAATAATTGATAAAATTCAACACCCATTCATGAAGAAACTCTCTTAGCACACCTGTAATGGAAGGGCTTTCGTTAAGCAAATAAAGAGTGTCTATCCCAACAAAACAGCGACTTATGCCTGTGGCCTATGGGAGGGGAAGGTTTGGCTTTAATGCTGCAATATTAATGTGTTTCCTTGAAATCAGGAACAAGACATTCATATTGCATGGAGAGTGGTTAGAGGATACACCCTTGCTCCTTGGGAACTGGAGACTTGAGGTGGAAGGGGGGCCTTGTTTTTTGGCTTTTACATCTCCTGTGTAGTTTTCATTTTTCAATGAGCATGTACTGCCACTCAGAAAGGAAAAAGGCCCTGTGGGATGTTGGCCATGGAGTGAGGAGACCTGTGTGTGATTCTTTCCTCTGCCACATGGGAATGCGCGAGCAGTCCTGTGAGGTCAGAACAAAGGGTCAGAGATTAGATGTTGAGGTGAAGGCATCTCGATGCCAGAATGTTCTAGAGCTGCCTAAATACAGGTCATTCAGCTTGGCTCTCTAACAATGACAAAGTAATGACTTTAGCCTGTGTCTTCAGTGCAGCCCTGCTCCCTGCCTGACCTCCATCCCCGGAGCCCCAACTCACCCAGAGGACCCATCAGTGGGTTTTGCTGCTTTACCTGGGAGACCGGGCTGGAGAGTCAGGGTGGGCTGGGATGTTTGCATCCCATGTGACAATATAGGTTCTCCAGCACTGATGCTGTCTTAGGAGGTTGGAGCAGGGGAGGGATGAATGGCTGGTCTGCTACCCTGCACTGTCCCCACCGGCCCTTGAGCAAGGCCCTGCCTCCCCTCCAGGAACCAATGTAGTTTTGACAGAGGTCCTTAGAGCAGGTTGCCTTTTGGGAGATTAGTGCTTGAGGCTGACAGATACTTAAGCGTTCTTTAAAACGTCCCAGTTTCACCCTGAGAGGTAGGGCTGCTTCTCCTTTTGAACTGCAGAAGTGAGAAATGGAATCAAAGGTGCAAATGAAGAATATTTAAATTAAAGACAGTAATGGATAAAGTCTGACGGCTGTGCCCCTGCTGTGTCCTTACCACCACTGAAGTGGCTGCAGACTCCAAACCAGCAGGAACCCTGGAATTTCACTTTGTTCCTCTTTCCTCCTTGCTCCTTTGATCCCTTCTTTTTCTAGACCTACAGCGGAAGTAATACAGTTAGAACTTTGAACTAGCTAATAAAGTGTAAGTCATTTGAACATCTGGTACTGAACAAAGTTCATGTGCCCGACGCGCAGTGAGGCCAAACAAACCAACATGTCTGAGTTTCAAGCAGAGAAAGGTTTATTGCAGGGCCAAGCAAGGACGTGGGTGGCTTATGCCCCCCAAACCCCGAACTCCTTGATGGTTTGTGGGGAGAAGCTTTTACAGGCAAAATTTGGGGTAAGGGCTGCAGGGCTGATTGGTTGGTGGTGAGGTAACTGGGCGGGGCTCCAGGAATCTCGTGCTCATCCTGAAGTTACCATCCTCCACCTGGTGGGGGGACCTTAGTTCTGCAGAAGTGCTCAAAGATACTGTAACGTATATCTCTTGAGGAGGAACCAGAACCCAGCCCCAAGCCTGCACTGTTGTTTCTTGACTGCTCCTCCCTTGTTTCTGCATCCCCTCCCTTCCCTAATTAGTAACTGCTCGAGTCCCCTCTTTGGAACTCAGGGAAGGTCAAGGAAGTCGTATGAAGCCTATTTCCTCCAAGCAGGAAATGGGGACATGGAAAGGTTTTTGTGCCCAGGAGCCCCACAGGGTCCTGCTCAGTTTAAATTCTGATTGCGTATCTTTGTCCCATGGGCCTTGTTGCTCAGTGGGCATGCTGGGCTCCTGTATAGGACCTGATGCCCTGTTTCCCACATCTCTCGTTCCCTTGGCTCCCTGCAGCTGGGGCTGTCACAGGAGTATGGGCACTCCAGCAGTGCTGTGAATTTTCTGCTTCCCAATTTTGAAGTCCTTCTCTCTCTTTCTCTTCTTAGTTGCTTCAACGTTTTGAGATCAAAATATCTCCATGGACTAAAACTGTTCATGCAAAAACCCATGGGCTTCTGATGCCAGGGGAGCCCATCCACGTGCGTTTTGTTAACAGAAAGTGAGCCTGGCGTTTTCACCCAGCTGCCAGACCGACACACACCAGGTGTTCGTGGGCCACGGATGATGGTGAGGGAGAAAAGGATCCCTTCTGGGGGCTGTCTTGGTTATAAATTGGCCTCCTGGTTTCTGGGAGGCTTTGAAATCTTTATGCAAAGTAATGTGAGAAGATTGCTTTACTTTTGCATACCAGAGTTGCCTTTTCTTTTTTTTTTTTTGGAGAAACAGCTGTTGCGAAGCCAGTGGCACTGAATTCTCATGCCTCATACGGTGTCTTACCCTTGGACTCACTATTCACTTACCCATAGTCTCCTCTGCATTTGGGCCAGGAAATGTTGGCATACATATAGATTCAGTGCTTGAATATACCTTCTCTAATACTGCATCCGGGACTGCCTGTTAGGATACAATTCCAACTTCTTGTTTTTAATTTGAAGAGGAAACATTAAGAGACCTCTGTAGAACAGACCTGTGGTTGCCAGGGGGGAGGAGAGGTGAGGGAGGGAAGGATTGGGAGTTCGGAATTAGCTCTATAGCACAGGGGGCTATATTCAATATCCTGTGATAAACCATAAAGGAAAAGAACATGAACAAGAATGTGTGTATGTATAACTGAGTCACTTTGTTACATAGCAGAAATTATCACAACACTGTAAATGAACTACAATAAAATAAGTTAGAAAAAAAAAAAAAAAGGAATTCCTCTCTAATACCATAATTACGGGAAGAAAACACCCAGGCGACACCAAGCCCCAGATTTAGATCCTGCAGCAGGGCTCCGAATTAAAAGGACCATATTCTTATTTTTTTCTCCAAACTAATATTTCTTTTTCTAGTCATAGCTCCTAAAGAAGTTGAATATTAGTTTTTTGGTTTGAAAGAAATAATCAATAAGAAATAAAACACCTGGGGAAGTCAAGAATAATCAGATTTTCTAACCGAATCTAAGTACTCAGCAGATGTATAAGAACTGAAAATCTGAGCACGTGAAATTTCATTGCCTACATTGAGAAAAATGAATTAAACAAACACTGTGGAAAACAGTGTAACTTTAGAACATTTTTATTTCAAGGAAAAATAAATATGTAAATGGACATTCTCTAGACAAAATCATATTTTTATCTTCATAGTCTTATTTTAAATATCCAAACTGGAAATGTGATCCAGCTGTTGGTGCTGACATAAGGCTCTGACTGAATGCCTCGGGTGCCTAGGAGCCTTCGAATGTTCTGTTGCTCAGCTCATGCCACCTGTTGGTCGCTAGTAAAAAAACACAATTTTATAACATTTCTCTCTGTGCCTTCATGCTTGAGACCTCTTAGTCTCAATTCCATAAGTCTCTTTACATAATCCTTACCCTCAAATCACTTTCCTATGAATATATACCATAAATCTTTCTTCCCCTCTTTAGTTGGTCATTCTGCAAAGTAATCCTTAAATAAAATAGAAATAGTATCAATTTCACATACCATATTTGTTTGAGTATGTAAAGCGCGATGACTGAATAACTTTAGTGTGAGTGCTGTAAAAATATGTAGAGTTAAATATGAAATTATGTCATGAACTGAGAAAATGTTGGATTCCTTTGAGTTAGCAGTATATATATTAAATTTTATAAACTAGATACAATTTTATTCTGTTAGAGACTGAAATTTAAAAATATTGAGACACCAGGAAACTTGAGGTGAACTCTTATTCTACAAGGTGACCCTCTAGTGATGTGTGGCCCTGCCCAGGCATGGGCACAGACAGGTGGGTCGCACCTGTGCCCACCTCTTGGTCTCCACAGACAGAGAGAGAGGCAGCCAGACCTTAGGAGCCCCCTGGTGTGACCAACGGGACGTGCATGGCACCAACTGTGAAGCATTCTTGCCAAAGAAAGTGAAATCGAATCAGTTGAGTCTCTAGATCCACCAGTTTATGGGAAATACAGGGTATAGAGGGGCATGTTAAAATTCCCTGCGGATGCAATCAGCAAAATCCAGCCCATAGCAAAGTCTACAGGACAAATAACTTTTATCTCCCCAACAAATAAGTGACAAGAAAAAAAGAAAAAGAAGAAGGGGGAACTGTTATAGATTAAGAGATTTAAAGGATAATTAGGGAAATTTGAACAATGTGTATTTGATGATATTAAGGGATTATTGTTACATATTGTTGTTTACATTAACAAGAGAGATCTTATCTTTTGGAGGTCTTCCTTAAAGATATAAATATGTAATGTTTATGGATGGAATGTTATGATATCTTGGATTTGCTTTAAAATAACCCAGCTTGCTGTGGAGGGTGGGTAATGTGTGTGTGTGTTGGGGGGTGGGGGGCTGGGGGAGGAAAAGATGAACCAAGATTGGCCCGATGTTGATAAGTGTAGAAGCTGGGTGATGGGTACCTGGAGGATTCACGCCTCCATTCTCTGCTTTGTGTCCACGCGAATGTTTCCATAATAAAAAGTGTCTTCAAAAACCAAAGACTTGATTGACTAATAATCTCATAGTTCATTTCTTTTTCAAACTGTTTACAAACCAGCAAAACTGACTGTAAATTAGGTTCTTCAGGGACCTATACCTTCTCTTTCAATAATTGTTAGAAACCATCGATTTAACTACCTAAAGTACAATTGTTGTGCTCAGATTTGAGTGACCTGCCAGACAGGGGTCAGCTAGCCCTCGTAGCTGAGAAGCCAAGGCAGGGCACAATTCCAGGGGTATTAGTAAGGAAAGGGGAGCAGGGCTAGGTGCTGCCACCAAGGAGGGGTGAAGTTGGTAAAAACTGTTAGGTAGCTAGTCAGACATGAGCGGGTGCTGCCCCATCCTGGAGGGGGTCATCTCTCCCGGCCCCCCCACTGGTAATCAGAGCACGGCCAGAGATCCTCCCTCTTCCAGTCAAGGACCACCGCTGAGTTTCCAGGCTTATCTGCACTAAGCAGGATAAAATCGCCAACACAGGTTGGTGCAGGGGCACCAAGACCTAAAAAGTGACTCAAAGTAACCCAGGGCCCATTATGCCGTATTTATAATAAATTAGCATTGCGTTTTTTGCCCCGCCCCTTCCCCCATGCTTTTCGCTTGGGTACTTCTCGGTGGTAAGCACCTGCGCAGTAAGAGAAACGTCATATAACCTAAAACTGTCAATCAACTTGTCAGTCAAATGACGTAGGGCGTGGGGAGGGACTGCCACCACTCTAATAAGCCCAGCCCTGCCCTGACTGCAGGGCTGCTTCTGGAGAGCGTACTTATGCTTTGCTTCATAAAACTTGCTGCCTAAACCTGCTCTCTGTCTCTTGACTGAATTCTTTCCCTTGAGAGGACAAGAACCTAGGAATCGCCGGTCGGCCGGGAATAAAACCACTGTTTGTGGGACAGTAGGGGGTGGTGAGGGCCTGCGGAGTACGCTCCCTGCAGGAAGGTTTTCAAACTCCATTTCTAAAAATGTGCTGGTCAAAACTAAAGGGGTCAGCAACTGGCCAGGCTGAGAGACGGGCAAGGCAAGGGGTACCCCCGGAGGCCCAGGAGCCGTGCCCACGGGGACTGTGGTGGTCACAAGCAACAGGCAGACCCGGGGGGGACGGGAGCTGGGGCCAGTCACCAAACTGAAGGAAGAGCTGATCAGCCAGGAACCAGGAAGCTCTGTCCAAGGGCCTTGGCTGCAGGATCTCTGAGTGACCGGCATCCCAGCTGGAGGGTCCCCTTCCCCAAGGCGTTTGACTGGCTTGCCTTGTGATCCATAGGTGCCTTGACCAAAGGAGGAGGGGGGCGGTGGGAATGCCCAGCTGGCAAAACCAGAGCTGCCAGCAGACCGGCATCCCCAGCTCCTGGCTGGGCAGAATTCTCAGGGTGAGACTGAAAACAACATACCCTCTCTCACGGCCGTCCCTTCGAACCGGTGCTGTGGTCACTTCTAGCCTCAGATGAAATCTTGGGCAGTTTTAATACGTTTTAGATCACTCCTAGAAAAGGAAAAAACCTCCAGTTACTTTTAGCCACTGTAACACTCTCAATCACGGATGAAAACATCCAGTCCGGTGTAAATAAACATCCCAGAACTTCGTGTAAAGTTGGGCACTTCCACTCCCCCAGCTCTGGGCAGCTCCGGCTGGGAGCCTGAGGAGGGGACGGGGGGAGGTTGGCTTCTTCTTCCTTTTCTGCGTTGCCCCCACCCCCCACCCCGCAGCCCTCAGGCTATCTGTCTTCTCTGAGTTTGGAGCTGTCAGGAGGAAGGAGGGCGGGAAGCTTGCTCCCGTCTGATGCAGGAGACTTGGCATCAGGCTCTCCGGCCTGGGCGGGTGTCCCTCCACTCCTCTGGGGCTTCCTAAATGAAAACCTGCAGCTGCAGGGCCTCTCCTCCAGGTGGCTTTGTGACTGTCCCCTCAGCCCTGGGCATCCAGCCTGGGTCCCATGGCCCCTCCCAGCTCTCCTCCTGGCCAGAATCTAACCCCCTGCCTGACTCCCTGTTGTCCCCACCCTAGAGGGTGTCATTTCCTCCCCGTGTGTCCAGTGCTGCGTGGGCTCACTTTCAGGTGGTGGGAGCTGGCCTCAGGTCTCGGGAGCCCGCAGACTCCAGGCAAGGGGGATCAGGCTCCCTCTGAGTGGCTCTGGAAGCCCCCCTCACTCAGCTGGGGGAGGGGAATGTGGGGTCCCTGCCACCCACTGCTCTATTTGCAGCTGTTGCAGCTTACCTGAAAAGAGACATTCTGGGTAGGGGGGGAAAGGTCCTGGTCCCTTGGTCGCTGCTCCTGTCCACAGATCTGGGGCCTGGCTTTGAGCTGATGCCGGGGATAGGACCGCCCCCACTGGATGTCAGCCGCCAACACGGAGGTATGTGCCTGGGCTTCCTGGCTCTTGCAGACCAGGGGCAGCGCCGGTGTAGAATGGACACTGAACCCTGCCTGGAGTGGAGTAGGGTTGGGGTGGGCGGCAGTTCCTGACAGCTGCTTAGAGCCCCGTGTCTTCTAGTTCTGCAAGCTTTTCATTTAAAGTGCTAATTTAATTGTACTGGGATCTGCATGGTGTGGAGACTTGCTCTGTGGCCTCATACAGGGTTAATTTATGAAAATGTTCCATGATGCTTGCTGGGTTCAGGGCTCCACATCTGCCTTATTATGCCAGGCTTGCTGTTGTGCTGTTGAAAACATCTGTATACTTCTTAATGTTTGCCAATCCATCACTGAAAATGGTGTATTAAAAATTCCCACTCTGATTGTGGAGTTGTCAGTTTTTGCTTAATTTAGCTTGAGTTCATGTTATTAGATGCATCCTAGTGTTGTTTTATTTTCCTGGTGA